AATATCAATAAAATTGTTAAACCTCTACTCAGGCTAATTTGAGAAACAGAGAGATAGAGAGAGAGAGAGAGAGAGAGAGAGAGAGACAGAGACAGAGACAGAGAGAGACAGAATGGGAATTAATAGCAGAAGTGAAGAAGGAAACATCACTACAGCTAGCATGGTCACCCAAAGCATGATAAAACAATACTATGTACAACTCTGTGCTGATAATTTGATAACCAAAATGAAATATGCAATTCTTTGAAAGATACAATCTGCTAAAAGTCACATGAAAATGTACACTTGTAATAGATCTATATCTATTAAAAATATACTCATAATTAATAACCTCACAAAACAGTAAGCACCAGGCCCCAATGTATCTACTGGTAAACTTTACTAAATATTTAAAAAAGAAGCTAGATCAATATTTTATGATTTGCTTCAAAAGATAGAAGAAGAGTGAATATGTTTCAACTCATTCTATGAAACCAGCATTATCCAAATGCCAGACAAAGACATTAAAACAGAAAACAAAAACAAATAAAGTACATGCCAATATCTTCCTTGAACACTGATGCAAACATCCTTAACAAAATAATAGCAATCCAACATTGTATAAATAAACATACACCATAACCAAGTAGGATTTATTCCAGATATGCAAGTCTGAGTCAATATTGAAAAATCAAGCTGGGCTCAGTGGCTCAGCCTGTAATCCCGTGTTTTGGGAGGCTGAGGTGAGTGGATTGCCTGAGCCTGCGGGTTCGAGACCCACCTGTGCAACTTGGCAAGATCTCATCTCTACAATAAAGCAAAAAAACTAGCCGGATGTGGTAGCACACGCCTGTAGTTCCAGCTACTTGGAAGGCTGAGATTAAAGGATCGCCGGAGCCCAGCAGGTGGAGGCTGCAGTGGCTGGGAGTGACCACTGCACTCCAGTCTGGGTGACAGAGTGAGACTCCAACTCAAAAAAAAAGAAAAAAGAAAAAAAAATCAATGTAAATCCAGCACATCAACATGATAAAAAAATCACAAAGTCATATTAACAGATGCAGAAATATTATTTGAAAAATTTGATAGCCATTGATGACAAAAATTCTCAGTAGACTAAGAATAGTGAAAAATTTTCTCAACTTAGTAATAAATATCTAAAAATCTATAGCCACCATCATAATTAACATTTTGGTAAACAAACTAGAAGCTGTCCTACTAAGATTGGAAACAAAGTAGGACTATCCCTTTTTAATACTCCTTTTCAACATTGTACTGGAAGTACTAGCTAAAGCAACAAGACAAGAAAAAAAAGGTGTACTGATTGGAATAGAAGAAATAAAACTCTAAAACTTTCTTTGCAAGCAATATGAATGTCCACGTAAAACAGCTGAATGAGTTGACAACAAAACTCCTAGACCTGATAAATGATTATAGCAAGGTTACAGGATAAAAGGTTAAGTGCAGATCAATCACTTTTCTATATAAAAACAGTGTACAGGTGGAATTAAAATTAAGAACACAATTATTTTTGTAGCATCCCCAAAGATGAAATACTCAGGTATAAAACTAATAAAATAATTATAAACTCTATGAGAAAAACTGCATAACTGATGAAAGAAAATCAAATAACCAATTAAATGGAGAAATATTTTATGTTTATGAACAGAAATACTCCATATGATCAAGATATCAGTTCTTCCCAACTTGATATATAGATTCAATGAAATTTTGATAAAAATCACAAATTATTTTATGGATATTGAAAAACTGATTCCAAAGTTTATATAGGGAGACAAAAAGACCCACAATATAATATATAAAAAAATATATAGGGAGGCAAAAAATATATATAGGGAGGCAAAAAAATATATAGGGAGGCAAAAAGACCCACAATAGCCAACACAATATTAAAGGAGAAGACCAAAGTTGGAGGACTGACACTATCCAACTTCAAGATTTACCACAAGCTATTGTAAACAAGACAGTGTGATATCAGTTAAAGGAAAGATAAATTAATGTAAACAAATAAAAAACCAATAGGGAGATCCACTTAAGTATAGTCAACCGAACTGATTTTTGACAAAAGAGTAAAGGCAGTACTATGAAAAAAAGTTTCTCTTTTCAACATGTGGTACTGGAACAACTGTAATCCATAGCCAATAAAATGTATCACAATACAAGCATTATGTCCTTCATAAAAATTAACTCAAAATGTAACATTGACCTAAATGTAAATTGCAAAACTATAAAACTTCTAGAAAATTACCTTAAGGTTGGTGATGACTTTTTAGATCCAACATCAAAAAGCACAATCCATGAACAAAATAATTTATAAGCTGGACTTTATTAAAATTAAAAGTTTATGCTTTTCAAAAGATATCATTAAGAGAATAAAAAGACAAGACACAGGATGAAAGAAAATGCTTGCAAAGATGTCTCTGATAAAGTGGAATAATACAAAATATACAAATAATTCTTAAAACTCAATACAAAAAAAGGAACAACCAAACTAGATAATGGACCAAATACCGTAACTGGGAAGGCACCTTCACCTCACCAATGAAGACATACAAATAGCAACTAAGAAATGAAAAAATGTTTCACAACTTATATCATTAACAATAATTTTTTTCTTGAGTTGGAGTCTCACTCTGTCACCCAGGCTGGAGCGCAGTGGCACACTCACGGCCCCCACAGCCACAACTTGCTGGGTTTAGGTGATCCTTCTGCCTCAGCTTTTGAAGTAGTCAGAACTACAGGTGCATGCCACCACGCCTACCTGGCTAATTTTTGTAATTTATTGTAGAGACGAAGTCTCACCAAGTTGCCCAGGCTGGTTGCGATATAAAAAATAAAATGAGATAATATACCTCTATACACTTATAAGAATAGTCAAAATCCGAAACACTGACAATACCACATGTTGGAAAGAATGTGGAGTAACAGAAAAACTCATTTATTGCTGATGGCAATGCAGTGGTACAGCCAATTTGGAAGATAATGTAGCAGCTTTTTATAAAACTAAACACACTCTTACCTTACGAACCAGCAATTGAGCTCATTAGTATTGAGCTGAAAATATATGCTGTCTCCCAAACCTGCACATTGATATTTACAGTAGCTTGATTTATAATTGCCAAAACTTTGCAGCAAGGATGTGCCTCAGTGAATGAATGAATAAATTGTAATAGATCTCAACAATGGGATATTATGCAGTACTAAAAAGTATGCCCTTCTGAGCGATGAACAGACATAGAGGAAGCTTAGATGTTTAGTGCTAAGTGATAGAAGCCTATTTGAAAAGGCTGCATATTGTACTAATCAGTTGATACTTTGGTATAAGACAAACTATACTGACCGCAAAAGATCAGTGGTTGTATGTGTTGGAGAGAAGGGTGAGGTGAATAGCACACAGGATTTTTAGAACAGTAAACTATTCTGTATGATAAAATAATGGTAGAAAAATGTCTGTTAAATCTTTGGGTCAATGTAGGTTTTTTTTGTTTGTTTGCTTTGCTTTGTATGTAATCCTAGTTTACGTGCTTTTTAAAGAGCTAATTTCATTGTTCCTATATCTATCATTACAGTAAGAAATTGGATAGTTACACTGGTCTAAATGTCCCATATGCTACACCTATTCATTTCTCACTGCCTCTAATCCCTGGCAATCTTTGGTCTCATTACTGTCTTAAGAGATTTGTCTTTTCCAGAATGTCATATAGTTGGAATTACACAGCATGTAGCCTTTTCAGACTGGCTTACTTCTTTAAATAAATGCAATTATTAAAGTTCTTCTGTATACATTCATGACTGGATAACATATTTCTTATTATCGTGAGTACTATCCAATTGTATCAATGTATCACAGCTTATTTATCAATTTTCCTATTAGAAAAACATCTTGGTTGGTTACAATTTTTTAGTAATTATAGAGTTGCTATAAACATTCATGTGCAGATCATTGCATGGATAAAAATTTTCAACTCATTTGGGTGTGTAGAAGCACAATTACTAGATTGTAAAATAAGACTATGTCCCTGAGTAGTGGAAGTCCTCATCCCTTCTTTATTTTTTTCTGTACCATTTCACGTTACCCTTCATTATTACCAAATAGCTTTCCTTTCCATTTTTGTTGTTATTTACTTTTTGAGGCATGAAATTTTGCAGTAAGCTTCCTACTTTTCATTGGTTATAAAAAAATTACACTTACATATATTATAAATCTGATAAAGATGACATTTGAATGTGAACTGATAAATGAAAATTCATTTATCTGAAATGCAATGATTCTTCTTCTAAAAGTTATTTTCTTAAAATGTAAATATTTCAAGACAGTGATCATATTATTGTTAAGATCTTTCATATAAATTGATAGCCATATTTAAAACAAAACACATATAAAAATTTTGTCTTCCAAAATTTGAAATCAAAAACAATATTTCGGATGTATTTCAAATGATTTTAGTATTTTAAAATGCTTTACTCAAGTGTTTTTTTAAAATAAAAATGTGAGTATTCTTTTTAAAACATTTTCATTCTAAATACGTGGAATACAATTCGGGGTTAGTCATACAAATGGTCATTGTACAGGTAAAGTTTGGGCCTCGCTTTACTCAAGTGCTTTTTATCGTTAAAATGTTTTTATATTTTAAAGTACTGCTAGTTAGGGGAAAGAAAACTATTCCATGCTATAAATATTATTTAACACGATATTTTTTATTTATTTCCACTCAGAAAGTATACAAAAGGATTTAAAATTTGAACTAATTTTGCTAAATAGTTGACACAATTTTGATGAGAAAAAAATATCTAGACCAGATGGAATTTCTTTGTTTATTTTCCTGAGTGAAAATATATGGTGAGATAAACTTAAATGGAAAAATTTTTCTTAGTGGTTTTCTAAAGTTGGCCGTGTTTATTTATTTGGAGGGAGATAGTACCAGGTGACAATTTTAAACTACATTCAACCATGCATTCATTTTTACATTACACAGGTAATATGTTTTCCTTTATGTTTCTAGGAAGGATGGGTCAAAAGAACCAATAGTGGAGATGAGAACAGAGGATGAAAGAATTACTAATCATGAAGATGGGAGCCCAGTAAATGAGCCAAATGAAACCACACCACTAACAGAGCCTGAGTATGTAGCTTGAAATGCTTACTTATATTTAAATCAGTTTTGGTAAAGTGATAACACATTATCATAACTTGTATTATATATCTGCAAATTTTATTATAATTATTTTTCAAAGAATTATGCTGTTTCTTTTAATGAAATTATGCGTGAATATCTAAAATCCATTTTCTATTGAGACATTTCTCATGAAAACTTCAATGTCAGAGAAAGTCCATTTTTAAACCACATATGTATAATTTTATGTAAAAATATATTAATGAAAGAAGTATGCTACAGAGTGGAATTTTCCAACACTAGCCTTACTCTCAAAATGTGATGCTTTCACTTTCAAAATTTTTGAAAATAGGTATTTTTACTGAAATAAAAATAGTCAGGAAATTATTCATAATTTTGAATACTAATAGCAGTGAAATATATCCAAGACTATTTTTTAAATAAATAATATTTGTTAAGAGGAAGAAATACTGTTATATTCTTTATAATTTTAACATCAATGTAGTAAATAATGATTGGTCTCCATTTAAGACAGTGTGGTTTATTTCTGTGTCCCTCATAGCTCTATTAAAACTTTAGTAGATATCACAACTAAACCTGCAAAGATGATTGTTTGCCTAGATTTATGTACATTGAAATTAGAGTAATCAGGGCTGGGTGCGGTGACTCACACCTATAATCCCAGCACTTTGGGAGACCTAGGTGAGAGGATTGCCTGAGCCCAGGGGTTCGAGAACAGCCTGGGCTAGTTGGCAAGACCTCATCTCTACAATTAAAAAAAAAACAAAAAAATTAGCTGGGCATGGTGGTGCATGCCTGTAGTTCCAGCTATTTGGAAGATTGAGGTGGAATAGCCTGAGCCCAGCAAGTCAAAGCTGCTGTGAGCCTGAGCAGCGTGCCACTACACTCAAGCCTGGGTGACAGAATGAGACTCCAACTCAAAAAAAAAAAAAAAAAAAAGAAGAGAGAGAGAGAGAGAAAGAAAGAAAGAAAGAAAGAAAGAAAGAAAGAAAGAAATTAGAATAATCAAAGTGAAGACATTATTAAGAAGTAACAGCAGTAGTATTCTAGTGGATGTATGTGACACTAACAAAATCATGGTTATCATACTCTTTTTTACTGTTCATCAGGTGTTTTTCATTATTTTTCAAAACAAATACTATTTATTTTTCTTTACAGCCTACATTCCCTTGTAGTGTAATCTGATTTAGGTTTCTCATTATAAATCAAACACAGAAGGAAGTCACAGTTGAAAACAATGGATTTTTTTTCAGAAATCCCATTTATTTGCTCTGAAGAGACTGAAATCATTAATATATATAGACACAAAATACTACTCTATAGCTAAAATTTTTATATAAACCCTCAGGCTGTTTTTAATTATTACATTGAAAGAGTATTGCATTCTAAATTTAGGTTAACTGTATTAGAGGTGGGTTCTACAATCTCCCCTTCAGAAATCAGAAGTATTTCCAATGAAGTGAAGTATTACACAATAAAACACAATCTAGTCTAGCAAATAACACACTATTATACTGGTGTGCATAGAAACTAGTTAAGAGAATTCCCTTGAATTGGGCTATATTTTGGACAAAAAAGTAAGTTAATTAATAGTCTAGATCTGAACCATAAAAAATATTGTCTAGACAATACTAAATAAAATAATTAACAGTAATTTTTAAAAGAAATTTAGCATAAACATAAGTAGTGAGAAATTATATATGCAGAAATACATCTTCCAAGAATTAATTGAAAACTTTGGTTCATTAAAAACTCCTTACATAGTTCTGTAAGAGATATATTAAGCTTTATGCTAATCTACTATCAGAACTCTAAAAATTTCTGCATTTTGATGCTAAAAAAGTGAAACATTGTTTTTCTAATCTTTTATTGTGAATATTTTCAGTACTTGGGAATGGGAAAAAGGAAGACTTGTGAATGTGCTGTTATAAAGAGCATGCTCTTGTTAGTACAATGCCTCTTCCTTCCCACCAACAGATCTTACAAGTTTCTGCCTATGACTTACTTTTGACTGAATAGTTCTGATAGCTTTGATCTTCAGAATACAATGTTTACCCTTCTTATTAAAAAAAAAAGATAAATTACAGATAAAACTCTGAGGAACTACTGCCTCTCCATAAAATGGGAGGTTGAAGTCACAGAGGTGAATTGGAATTGTATTTCTAAGAAATTTTTTTTGATATGAAAAACGATTTTGTCAAGGGAGAAAAAAATTAGTCACCAAAAAATGTTACAAGATACAATCATAAACCATCAAATTTGACAATTTTAGATTAAAAACTTAAAAGTATAATTCACTGACATAAAATAAGATTTATGAAACTGTCTTAATGTTAAGAAATAAAGTTTGCTATTAAAAACTATCAACAAATGTTCCCAGAAGTGATATAAAATGACAAGAAAAATAATAATGAAAATAAATAAAAGAAAACATGGCAAATATGAAAAATGAGAATGTCCTAAAAAATATTCATTTGCATTAAGTTTCAAAGAATATTGCTAATTTATCTGGTTTCTAAATTTTATGTAACAGAATATGGCAACAATTATTGATGGCTTTTACTTGAAAACATGAATAATAAAAATGCATCATGTCATTGACATATATTTGCTTTTTACCTTCCAAAACACTTAATTATAATTTTAGTTTCAATGACTGTTTACCAAGTCTAAGCCATCCTATCATGACCAATTTGATGCATCTAAATTTACAAATACATTTTTCATTCATTTTGCATTACATTACATTTGTATGATAAACAATCTTGCCTTATTCTATTGCCAATTATTTTTATGAATTTGATATTACTTTATTTTACTTTATTTTTTAAGTGAGAAAGTAGGATTTATTGAGGACAGAAAAGCTCCCACAATGGGAGGGGACCTGAAGGGATTGCCCCTGATAATACTTTAACAAATTTTTTGAAGAGATTATTTTGTCTCCAAAATAGTAATTTAAATTTTATATATCTCTTCAAAAACTCCCAACAAATGAAGTTTATTATTTTTTAATTTTCTTTCAGAAAATTGCCTTTAAAAGAAGAGAATGGGAAAGAAGTTCTAAGTCCAGAAACTATAGAAATTAAAGTTTCTAATGACATCATTCAGTCAAAAGAAGATGACAGCAAAGCGTAACAACAGTATCACAACGTCTTGAACAACACTACAAAGAGCATATGGATTGCAGTGACCCTATGACCAAAACTATTCCACTGACCTTAATTTCTTGGGAAACTTATAGCTTGGAATAGCTTGTACACATATACATATGATCAGATACTCCTGCCCATGGTCCATTTCCTTTGTTGTTGTTGTTGTTGTTGTTATTGTTGTTATTGTTAATTTTGTTAAGAATTTCAGTCTAGAAACCTGACTGGCACCAACTCTTGGGTGTTCAATTTGATTCCATGATTGAAGTACTGCAATTTATTATCTAGTTAAAGTGCTCTATTTCTTAAGAACTACATTTCATACCACCAACAAATATATTTTAACCTCTAACAAATAGGGGTTTAGGAAAAAAGCTTTGTGAGCTACATGTATAAGAAAGCCCTGCATGTTTATGAATCCTGTCTTGGGCAAATAGATTCTTAAAGTGGCTTTCTGCTTAAGATGAAGGCACTTAACAAAGGTTACACATTTTATCAGGGGAATTTCAGGGAACCTGGGCTTGAAGGAGCCAGTTATCTTTAGCATTTATTAAAAATTGAGAAGAATTTTGGAAAACATTTTTCAAGTTATGATTCAGTGCGTTTTCAACATTGATTTTTTTGATAGATTAAAGTGTCAGATCAAAACTGTTACCTATTTGGAAGAATATTAGTTGTATGTAAAATTAGATTAGAACGACTCCCTAAATCTCTATCTCTTTATATATGTCATATTCATTCACAATGGATTAAACAAAAAATAAATGTATTGCAAGTGAAAAAAAATATTGATTTCTGCCCTCAGCTTCAAATAAAATAAATTGAAATGGGAACAATATCAACATGGTGTCTTGATATATTTATGAATATGTGACTATCTTTTATTTTTTAAATAATTTATCAATAAAGTCATTAGTGTCCAGATACTTCAAATCATATCCTCAGATACATTTTTTAGTCCATAATTTTAGATAATTTTTAAAAACTAATCTTTTCTGTGTTATAAATCCATCATTCGTTGTAATAGGCTAAGGAAAATAAAAAACTTAAGGTTGGCAAATTTAAGAATAAATTATTTAACATTTCATGTACCATGAATATGTCAGTGATAAACAACTGAATAGTTACTATGTGTTTTTATTCTATATGTTGTAGCTAGAAGTCATTTTAAGATTTTGATAAACAACTTTGGTTGAAGAAATTCCTTCACTATCCAACACAAACTTTATATTATCACTTGTCAGGACTTATATCAGAATAAAATTCTTCCAAGTATTAACTTCCAAGCTATGCAAGCTCCCAGAGGTAAGAGATTGAAGCATAATTTAAGTTATAGGTAAAGTTTTAAAAAATATATTTATGATTATAAATACACATACCAATTGGGAGCAGGTTTCTTAACCTAGAGAGCCGAAGATTTCTTTAGGACCCAAAACATTCAGAACCTTTGGTGTTTCAGGTGGTGTTATAGCTCAGATATTGACTAGATGGGTAATGTAGCCGAATAGAATGTCAGAGAAATTTTTAACAGCGCAGAGAGACCTGCTTTGTGAGTGTTTCTCTACAGAAATTATTTGATGATTACTAAATGTGATATTAACGCCACTCCTGAATACTTTTTTTTACAAAGTGCTTGAAACTGTCAGCCAAGGAGAGACAATTAAGTAATTTTATACTAGTCCTCACTTTTCTGGCTGTCAGCAGGACAGAATATGACTATCTGCATGTTAAGGCACCAAGTTGCCACAGGGTCTTTGCCATAAATTGCAAGGTAATAATGCAGGAATCTCTCCTTGCTATCCTGTCTGGCATATTCTGAAGAAAAGAACAGAATTCCTGTGCCTACGTAGGGATCTGAGTAGTGTCTAAACAAATAAACCAGTTAGGTCATTTTAACTAACTTGATTATCCAACTGGTCTTTGAAAAATTTGACCGTTGCTATTTAGTTTATGTTTGTCTGATTATCTGGTTTGCTTTATTTTGCTGTGTTTTATTTTGTTTGTTTTGTTTTGTACCAATGTACTAAAACTTGTCAAAATACTTGAATTAGTTTGTGCAAAGTAAACAAGCTTAGTAAAGTGTCCATGAAGCAATAGCCATGAATGTAAATTTTTCCTGGATCCACCACATGGTTTCAAACTAATGATGGTGAAACATTAGGATGACTGAGAAAGTCATTTCGCATGTTTACTATTGTTATATTTGCGCTTTACTTCAAGAGCAGAGAAATCATAATAAAGAAAAAAATATTTTTGTGTTTTCTCTATTTGAATTTTGTTTCTCTCAGTTATTTGCATATTCTTTCTAAAGAAATTGAGTTAAATATATCTATATATATATCACTCCACATGAGTGGCGGCCCGCCACTCATGTGGAGTGATAACTGAAATTAACAGATAATCTGAAGCTCATTGTAGACAGACTGTTTCAAGTTCACTGTTTCAGTTGCCCGAGTGGTCCTTAACTCTTATCCTTGAAATCTATGTCATGCACCTGCATGACAATACTGTGATAAAATATTTCTTTTGGTATTTCAATGGAATGCTCCAGATTAATCTATTTGTAAACGTTTTCAAATAAAAATGTCTTATATTAAATTGTAAGATATGAGTAGAGCTGAAATAACCTGCTTCATTTTTATTCTAGACTAAACAAATACATATACCTGTATAAATGTTATTTTTACTCTCTGAGGGTATTCATAGGTATTAGTATAAAATGTCAAAATGGTTGATGGATTATAAGTACTGTTAAAATAATCTGAACCCTATGCTACTTTAAACCAAGAGGCAACAATATCACCAAAAACATTAGCATTTCTTGATAGGTTAGGTGCAATCAGGCAATGACAATCTATAGTCAACAACATATAAGAGGAAAAAGTGATATCAGAATTTTAATACATATTTTGTTTTCAAAACTGGCATAAATTAATGTACCAACATATTATACAATGATTTGCAAATGAACTTAATTAAGAATTGTAATTTCTAAAGATTTATTTATTTGTTGTGTGGGGTAAGACATATTGCCATTCTATTGATACTAATATCCAATATTAATTCAATGTTTCTTAAGTTTTCCTTTATTTTTAATATTGATACCTATAAAAGCACTTGCAAAGGCTATTAGATCCAGCAAACTTCATATGAACCTTAGTTTTTGAATTAAATATTTATATAAATAGATTTTATTAATCAAATTATTTATTTGTGTGCCAACAATTAATTGTAACTTTATAATCACACCTTTATCTTATGCTTTTTAATTTTAATAATTAAGGTATATTTGTGCCTTTGAATTAGTATGATACTGCTTTATGAAAAGACAAAAAACCAGAGTTACCAACATTACTGATATGTTTCACTCATATATGAGACACTCAAATGATGTTGCTTGTTTTAGTGAATAAGCTCAACTTAAGCTACTTTACCATGAATAGAAACTCTAAAAATAACAAATAATACTGTGTAATTCATTCTAACTCACAACTGACAATTCTTTTCATACATACACATGAAATATTCTTAATTTGTTCTGATTTTTTTTTTCTAGACACTAAATACCTTCTAGATATTGTTGAAATGGAATTTTTATCAGTCGTAAGATAAAGACGACAGATGACTTTTAAAAGTTGAGCAAATTACTATGGTGTCTCTTGGATTTTCATTATTCCTTTTGATACATTTGATTTGGAATAATAAATCAGCCCCTATTGTTGACGATAAGATAATCACTGGTGAAAATGTTTTTGAAAAAAAATGTTATAAGTAATGTTATTTCTTAATTTAAGAAATATTGGAATAACATATTATAATTATTTATTAAATTTGTAAAGTTATTTTTCATGGAGAATAAGGTAAATGTTAAACTTAAATCCCCCATAGAGTTCTTTTTCATAATCATGTCTGGAGGGCTTGTTCAACAAGCTTTATGAGCAGGTGAAAATGTTTTTTTTAAATAAGATTGTTAGCATTGTTTATCTTTAGAGAGAAAATATTTGTATCCACATATTAACCTTTGAAGCATTGATACATAGTCTCCATAAATGAAAGTGTATATGGATGTATTGACAAATGAAAATTAAATTGTGGGTGGTCACCGAATTGAAATACTTCAATCCTAAAATGGAAATTTTTAAAGAAAGTCTTCTATTCATGAGCTTAATAATGTTTTGAGATAAAAAAATGTGTAAATGAGAAATTTATAAAAGAACTCAGACATAGTACTCGCTGAACAAATAATTTTCATTCAGTTCCCATCTTTCCTTTTTTAAAAATTTGCATTTACCCATGTAGATGCAGCTATTAAAAAATTATACAAGAATGCTAATAGATTAATTATTTTCCCTCACACAAAAGGCAAAGACTTTTATATTATATGTAATGGTAAATATTTATTTGATAACACACTTATTCTTAGGAAAATAGTTTATTACTCACTTTAGGATTTTATCAACAAATATATTATTTGGTATATACCTCTTTGAATTTTCTTTTTATACAATTTTTGAGATTCTGGCCACACAATGTTCATAAATATAGCCCATGTACATTCAATTTATTTTCTGAAATGAAAACACATATCTTTTGGCATCTGCTTTTAGCTTCCCATGGAAAAGAGTCCCATGGAAAACAATCACTCACTGTTGGAGGATTTCAAATCACTACCAGACATAGGAGAGTAGAGAAACAAGAAATGCAAGGAGCCAGAAAGGCAAACTGAACTGCTACATTTGGAATAAGTAAGGACCAGATGTTGAGAAGTGTTTGACTAGGGACTAGCAACATTGCCTAGATGAAAATTATGGCCAATTACGCTAATTCAAAGAAGAAAACCTACTGAAATCCAGAGGAGAAAGTTAACAAAGCTAGGACCTATGATTCAATTTTGCAAATAGAATTTTTAAAGTACAACATACATACTATGAAATAAATGGTATTGTTAAAAACCTACCTATTTGTTCCAACTTTTAAAGAAATATTTATGGTTTAGTATTTGCTTCTAAACCCGGTTAGAAATATGTGAACTTAGAAATAAAAGTTAAAAAAAAAAACATTTTTTGATATGTGAATTATATGCTGTGCTCAGTATGCATTGAAACATACTCCTTTATTTTCTTTAACTTATATATTCCATTCAAATTCTATATTCTTAAGTTAGCTATCACAAAGTTTTTTTTTAATTGTTTCAATATGGTATGTCCCTATGAAATGCTGTATATATATATATGTCTAAACTGTAAAAATTATACTGCAAATGTTGAAGTTTTGTATTTATGAGAGACATTGAAAGTATGGCTTACGGTATATCAAACTTGTCACACTTCACCATTTGTATATTAATAGTAAAGATACTTTTACTTTAATAAAGTGTTGCATTTTATGTTTATTTTGAAGAAAATGTTTGCAATGAGTGAGCTTATGATTTGACAATACTTTATTTTTTTTAATTTCCAAGCATATCTCAAGAGACTCTAAGTAGGAGAGTGTGCTCTGTCATCTTGCTTTATACTGACTCACAATCTTTTAGCTTCTACACTAAGCCAAACTTAGAGAGTTTAATCAATAAACAGTTGGTTTACAGCAGTAGTTCTAAAATGAGACTCCCAAACCCACCCTCCCCCAGATCAGCAGCTTCCTCATTACCTGGAAACTTGAAATATAAGTTGCTGAACCCCATCAAAGACCAGCTAAATCAGAAAACTCTGGGAGATGACTCTGACAATTTGTATCTTAATTAAGACTTTCTGTTAATTCTGATGCACACTAAAATTTGAGATCCACTGAATTGGAGACACAGCTTTTTTCATTCGCCAAATATTTTGATCAACTTAAAATTCCAGGCAACCTACTAAATATAGCTAGTTAGGCATTAACACAATATATGCATTCCCCAACAACATTATGTTCTGCAAAATTATGAAAATAACAAGACTTGAAGGAAAAATAAGCTTGGAACACGCCTCTCAAAATGTAGACAATTTTGGGAAAAAGCATTGACACAAGTAACAAAAGACAATAAATATTTTTAAAAAAATATAAACATACTTTAAAAGACATGTTAGGCACACTTTAAATTATTGTCTCATATTAACATTTTCTTTCATATTGGAATTGTATTTCTCATTATTATATATATTTATCTTAGAGAACTCCATGAGTTACAAAAGGAAGGAAACTAATACCCTCACAAGTTTTTAAAAGGAGTTTTCATTAAAAAAAAAAGAAAAAAACTGTAAAGTATACCTCATTCTTCCAAAAAAAAAAAAAAAAAGTCTAAATGCCAGCTCTTCACATGGGAGCAGTTTTCAATATAAGCTTTACAAATTCTGCAAAGTACTTACACATATAGAATTTTAAAAAATAACATTAAATGCACTCTGAGGGGCGAACAAAAGGGCATTCATATATTGTGCTTTGTCCTTCAGTATTCTATATTTATTAAAGGCTCAAGCATCCCTGTTAAAAATTAGTGAATTTCTTCTACTTTTTTCTAATCTAAGCCATTGCTTGAATATAAATTCTTTTTACTTGTAGTATAAATAATGAACATATTGCCTAAGATCAGACCATAAATGACCTCAGCATTTTAAATTTATTTTTTAAATTAATTTTTAATTTAAAAGACAGAATGTTCTCAAAATATAAATATCTTCTTTTTAATGTGAAGTGCCTTGTATATGTACTTATCTTTGGCAAAACTTTGCTCTTCAATAAAAAATGCATACCTTTGTGTATTTTAACATTCCTGGATAACGCATCTTTCATAGATAGTGCTTTTTGTTGTTGTTTTTGGCAGTGGGGAGCCCGCTAGAATAGAATAATGTAAAATCCATCAACAGCTAATTTACTTTGATTTTTATTAATAGAGCAGGCTATAAAGTCATATATTTATAGCATTTGGGTGTCTTATTATTTGGGGGGAAATAACTTGATGATTTATTCTATGCCAACTCTTCCACTTCCAAATCCAATTTGCACTTCTTTCATTATTCGGTCACCTGCCACAATCATGATCAATATCTGAAACTGACCTGGTAGGATTAAGATATATAGAGGAAAGGATAATTACCAAAATCAGTCCAAAACATTTGTATACTGTCACTCCTGGAGAGCAAGCAATTACAAATTATCTTGGAGGAGTCATTTTTAGATGAAAGGGCTTTTTGTTGTTGCAATTTCTTTGTATTTGGAGGCATTGGCTGAAGAGAAGGAAATTGACGTCTTATTTGTAAACAAAGACCCAAACTGAATCCATAGTGGGAGATGA